AGTGCCTGGATGGCGGCGGTATCGTCCGTGACGCCATCGCCAACGCAGCCATTGGCCTTTGCACGAAGAAAGCTGCTCGCAGGTACGTTATCGTACTGAGGCTTGCTGCGAGTGGCAAATCGTCCGTTCGAGTCCAAAAGGACAGCAGGCTTCGTGACAGCGGGGCGTGTATCCTGGATATCTTGACCGCCATTCGTGGGGGTATAGGCCTTGCCCTGAGCCCATGAACCAATTTTCTGATTACCGGGTAGAATGACCTGCTGGCTGACCTCATTGCGAACAGCAGCCTCCACGTTGGAGGACATGTCGACATTGTCAAGGATCAAGGTCCCGTTCGTGTAGGGTGATGAAGGGTCGTAGGCCGTCATGACGCCGGTTCGGGTATTCCTGATAGTGCTGTCGAGCAGGAGGAGAGAACCAACCGTCTGAGCGCCGACGGAGCCGCCATTCGCCATGTTAATGCCGATGCTGCAGTCGTTGATGCTTAGGCCATGAAGAGTCCACAACCAGTTCCAGTTCATGAAGATGGCCGTTTGACAGTTGTTGAACGTCATGTTCCTCGTGGTGAACTGTTGGCTACCAACAAACATGCCGAAACGACCGCCGACGAAGGTGAGATCGGTCATAAAGCCTCCTGAGCCATTATCAATGAAGATGCCCTGCTGAGCATTGGCCTCGCCGCCGTCGGTGCGCATGCGGAAGAGAATGTTCTGCAAGCTAGTGGCCTGGGCGACCTGCCAATGGATGCCGGTACCCGTAGTAAACGGCTGAGCAGTGAGGTCGACGACAAAATTCCTCATCTGGCGGAAGAAGTTGTTTTGGTTGGTCCAGGCATTGTTCCCCTGGTTATCATACGGGTTGGCATCAACGACGGCCATGCCGGCGAAATTGGGCGCGGCACGAAGTGTGGGTGGGTTGTGAATGTCACCGACCATGTGGGTATAGTACATGGGGATCAGGGGGCGGCTGACGAGATAGGTTCCTGGAGGAAAGTAGACGAGAGCGGGAGTGGTGGTGGAGGAATCGCAGCCAAAAAAGCAGCGATTGCCCGAGGACATGGCCGTGTTGATCGCATCTGTGTCATCGGCGATACCGTCGCCAACGGCTCCAAAGTCTTTGACGTTGCGGAAGACTTGGTAGCCGTCAACCCCAAAGGCAGCAACACCTTGGCGATCGATATTCGCGAACCACCAGTTGGAGGCGGCGGTGGTGGTGTCGGCACCAGCGCCGGCATCAGGGCTGGGGGCAGCCTGTGGCGCTGGAGCTGGCACAGCAAGTGCAGGAAGCGAGAAGAGGCGCGAAGCCAAGACGAAAGCTGTGATGACTGAAGCGAGGCCCATTGTGACGAACCAAACCGTGGGTGGGTGCCTTGTTTGGCGGGTTGATGCGGAGCAGGACCGTGGACAGCTTGTTGACTATGACAATCAGTCGAAGTTAGATAAGTGTTGATCTCGGTAAATGTCGTTTCGTCAAAAGAAAAAAAGGAGAGATCCTCGAGCAGTGCTGAGAAAGAAGAGCAGGCGCGCCTGAGTATTTTGTTGAGAACGGAAAGAATGCAGCCCGGGGAAGGAAAGTGCGGCAAGTACGCTTCAAGCCCGCAGCAGTGCCAATAAAGTAATCGCAAACTGAGGTGAGAGCAATTGACCCGTCGCTACTCGAGTTTGGTAAGGATGGTTGATTCTCGTCTTGTGTTCGTGGGACACAAAACAAGGCTGGAGGTTGAGTGACTGTGATGGAGGTGTGTTGACGCTGGGATCTTATATGCTTCGTCGATGTGAGATGGAAACTTCCAACCACGCTTCATTTCGTGAATGCCATCACCTGCCCGCCCAGCCTGCATCTGGTCTCGGCAATGAATGACAATCCCATTCAGGCATTCTTCCTATTGTTCGCTTCGATTTTCAGGCGGCTGCAATACACGCCCATCCATCACTCGACTCGTGCGACCTGACTGCTGGCCCTTGGCTAGCATCCAAATGAGATCACCCTCGTGGCCATGGGTCAGGTTACCAGCCACGCACGCGATCCAACTCGATGCATGCCGGATATGCAATACAGACAAACGGAAAGGGATAGATTTGTGTGACCAGAAGAAGGGTTGGGTGCATTCCAGGACCCACGGGATCATCAGGCACATGCAAGTGAACTCACCAGAGGCAGGCACGCTGGTGACGGCAGCGGATGATGGTCGATCAGCCCCGTTTATGGAAGGAGCTGCAGTGATCGAAGAACAGACGGAAAATGTGGGAGGGATTAAGGGACTGACAGCCACTGCAAGAATAGCAGAGACAGAGAAGAAGGCGGGTCCGATACTGGATGGCAGACACGGGAGAGGGGGTGTCTAGGGAGAGAGGGGCGTCTCGAGGGATGGATGATGCATTTTTGTAGCCAGACGAAGGCATCGCTGGTCTTATACCGCCACACTTACATCAGGAATAACTGGACGAGGTCTCAACGGTCCAACATCCCGCCACGACGGCTCCATCTCGGGCGCGATGTATATTGGGTTGCAGGAGCGCACTGTCGTATGGTGGCGATGCCCGCGCAGAACTTGGGTGAGTTGAGTCACGACCAAGCCCGTCCAGCAACGAGACCAGGGTGCCGTCTCGGTTATCGATCCTACGGCGGGACGAAGACCACCTGAAAACCATAGGTTGAAGCAATTATTGGCTTGGGAAGCACCAGGGTTTCAAATCAAATGGGTGGTCGTGAGAAGCAAACCAGGGTCTCGACAGGTTTGGACCAGTGGCGCCTAGCTGGGGCGAGGACGAACGAACCAGAACGTGGCGGATGCGGCCTGAGGTAGCCGGTGTCAATGCAGACCTTCTCCTCTACTCAATTCGAACGGCACCTTGAGCGGCAGGAGGTGCCAGACACGGCACCAGAACCCGAAAGAGGGTTGTTCCAACAGGGAGACGTGGAGCCGAGGCCGGGATCCGAGAATGCGCGAAAGTGAAAGCGTCAATCAAGCAGCTGAACAAACGTATATTCTTCTGTCTTCATCCTTCGCTTGATTAGTCGCACGGCGGACCTCCAACTGCCTTGTTGTGCAGTAATGGAGATGAGGTGTCGCCTGGATCGATATGCTGTAGAGGCAGTGCTAATGCCTACGAAGTTCAGAGAGTCTTGAGCGAATGACGTTGAGCACCCCTGAATCTGGCCCCCCAAAGGAGACTAGCCTGCCAGCACGGTTTCAAGATCGACAACGCGCCACCAAGAGACTCTCTGGGGGGGCTCATCCTGGCTCTTTCAGGGGCTTGTGCCTAGCCAACAGGGCGGGGAAGGGTTGCTCTCCAGCTCGATTTGGCTCATACCGTTGCAGAAACATCGGCCGACGAACCATCCCAAGGCCCTAACTGGCTGTCGTCCCATAAGTTGCGATCCCGAGTAATCTCAACATCGAGGCAATATCATGAGCGCGTAATTCATCCCAACTGATGATTCTTGATCGCCGTGGCTCTTTCATCCCCCTCAAAATCTCAATGACAAAACAGGATATACAGCATGATCCCAGTCGTCATCGAACAGCGGCTCGTTGTGGCACAGCATGCTGTGTAACGTACCAGCACCAGACCGACAAATCATCCTGTGCTATGGTTACGCCCAAAGGTCCTCGTGATAGAGTCACGTCGCTCCCCATCACGGCCTTAGCCTTCCCACAAAGGCTCACCACCGCCACACCTTTAAGCCTACTGCAGTAGTTCATCTCCGGCCGCTTCGGCCCTTTTGAGAACACCCTGTTGTGCCCCCCTCCTATACCTGCAGCATCCCCAGGTTTCGGGGTTGGGCAGACGACACTCCACATCTACCCGACGCCGGCACTCGTCCCGCCGCGGGACTGTCGCCCGGCCATTGGACTTGGCGTTCGGCTTCTGATCAACCGATCTTTGGACGGTGGGCGCTAAAAGGAAAGACGATAGTTAATTCTATCACCCATGACACATTGCATGCCATCGTGGAGCCTGGATCAATCGGGCTCATGCGAATGCTACACTCTGATCTGAACGTCATGTCCGCTGGTCTTCTCTGTGTGGGTGTGGGCGGGTGTGTATGTGTGTACCGGGCCGCTCCTCACCAACTCAGCACGTGAGGAGCGTGTGACCTGGTTCGTCTCACAACCCTTACGGAACAAGCTTTACCCTACCTTTCACTGCGTGCAGTCTGTCTTGCCAGCCCTGTGATGCATAGAACCCATCCACATGTCATGGAGCCCGTTCCATCTGTCTGCTCATCTCCGCAATTGAACCACTCGGCTCTGTTATCGCCTGTACCTCCACTGACCTCTCCTCCTCCCCAGTCACCGCCACGCCACTCTGCACCTTCCGCTATAGGATGGGCTCAACACCACGATGTAAATGAAAACCGCTTCCAGACCCTTCAAACCCGGCCTTGGTACTGCCGAAGGGTGGGTAGCAGCCGGTCTTTTCGCGGCACGATGACGGCGATACGTGCTTCCACGTGTGACCGCGCGCCTGATTCAGTGGCCTGCTTCAGCGAAAGTCATACTCCCTGCACCTCTTGTGCCGGACACGAATATGGCTGTATTCTTGCAGGCCGAGGTCACGTTGAAACCACATCACATGAATATAAATCTTCTAAATCATGGTCATTCTTGGCAGGTCTATGGGACCGATGATGTGGTAGTCTATCTAGCCATGTTTCCTATACATGTACTCGCATTGCGAAGCGAGTGACCTCTTCTTCCAAGTTCGTGACGGCAAGGAGCCCGTCTTCTAAGTTTGACGCCTTCTTTCTGACGTCTCATGCGACGCACTTCTCCCGATTCCCAATGCCACAAATGCTATGCGTTCAGCAAAACTTCCCTTGCGACCAAAAACATAACGCCACGATATCCTAAATGTACCCTGAGACTTCCACACTGACATTGTTTCCGACATGAAACAAGGAAAAGATAAACCCAATGCCAATCATGCCAAAACACAACAGTCAAAACGCTTTCATATGCACAATCAACGCCCAAGTCGGCAAGGCAAATTGCCTCAGATGTATTCCCCTTCAATCTCAACAGCACGGGCACTGTTGAGCATCTCAATGCCTTGGACATTGGCACCAAAGTCCATGATGAGAATTTTGGGGTCTTGACCAGTGCTGACGATGCGACGATAGTCGCTCTTGGCACTGAGTACCCAGCTGGCATGCCACTTAGGGAAATCCAGTAGTTGACGCCCAGTCGCCATGTCGAATACCTTGATGTCCTGGTCGTAACTTCCGCTGATCAAACGACCGCTCACAGAGTCAATGTGGAGACTGCGTACGAGATTATCGTGGGCTTTGATCTCTCGAACGCACTCGCCCGTATTCGCATCCCAGATGCGAATGATTTTGTCGTTGCCTGCAGAAGCGACAAAGCGGCCGTCCTCCGTAAACTGGCTGCAGGCCAGGCCTTTGGTGTGCCCGACGAACTCCCGGATGTTCTTGCCCGTATCGACGTTCCAAAGCTTGACACGGAAATCACCGCTGCAGCTCACAATGGTGTTACCCCTGAGCTGAACAGCGTTCACGGGCCCAGCGTGGCCGCGTAGCTGTCGGAGCAGAGCACCAGTGTGTCGATCCCAGACACATATGGAGACGTCTTTCGAACAGGTGACAATGTGGCGATCGTCAAACGCAAGGTCTAACACAGCGGCACCATGGTGTTGGAGACGACGGATTGGACGGTAACCGTCTTGAACTGAGTAAACAATGCATGACGAGTCGGAAGATCCAGTGACCAGGATTTCGTTGTCGTATTGCAGGCACAGGATTGAGGCTTCGTGATGTAGAGGGAAGGATGTGACGGCTGGCATGGATGGGCTGGCGCGGGTGCCATCTGGGTGGACTGCATGGTGGGTTGGTTGACCGTCGGCATCGAGAAGCAGCGAAACGTCGTTAACCACATCGGGGGGCCCGATGACGAGGCGGCATTGTAGTGACTGCATATCCCAGATTCGTATCGTCCGGTCACGAGATCCCGTGATGATCTTCGATCTGTGAACATGTTAGCGAAGTGCATAGAAAAGGCATGAATCTTGGAGAGCGGCCACTTACTCGTCAAACTGAAGGCAGTAGATGCTATCCGAATGACCGTTCAAGTACACTGGCTTAGCCTGTCCATCGCGCCAGCTACGGTCCAGCTGTTCCCTGACGCGATAGACCTCTTTCCAGTCTACACAAGGTTGAATGGGAGGAACCCCATGGCCGCACCCTGGCTGCACTGCATTGGTTGTCGCATAGGTGCCCGTTTTTGCCCGCAGGAACGCATCGCGCCATACATGTTGATTTGAAACAACCTCATGCCAGTGGCGGGACACGACCGTGGCATTGGCGAGTGCAGAGCCGTGGAGATAAGAGAGTATCTGAATAGAGAGTTCGACTGGCAGGCTTGAGACGAAGTCGATGCGACTTATGTTGGCATCTTCCTTCAAGTCCGCGTCTTCCACTGCCAACTCGGTGTCTGAGTCGGCGGCTGTCACTGTAATACCGATACCGCTCTCGCGATCGTTCCCAGCGTCTTCGCCGGTGCTGAACGCACGTAGCCACTTGTTTTGGCGAGGTTGCTGGCTTGTCGATGGTCGTCCAAGTCCCAACGACTCATTTTGGGCGGCAGCAGCGGCTTTAGCGGCTGCGCCTGTGTGGCGAGGAATGATGGGAGGCTCGCTGCCGGTGCCGGGCAAAGGAAGCGAGGGAAACGTGTGGTCGAATCTGGGTTGCTCGCCATCGACGGCGCCGTGGGACGTCCTATGATGGCGGAAACTGGCAGCCTGGCGCAGACGACGTCCCCATACAGAGTGAGAAGTCCCGGGACGAGGGCTGGTACTTGGGCTAGCAACGGGGCTGCCAGATGTCTGTTGGTCAAAGGCATCGGTCGGAGTCGGATATGCTATCGAGTGCCTCTGCCTGTGATTGACCATTCCTTTCAGCGATATGGAAGCCCTGCGAATGATGCTCTTGATACTGCCGTCTTCGCCAGCAGCCTGCCTTGTCCTTGTACCGGCGGCGACACTCTGACTGTGGCCATGTTTGGCTCGCGACTGGGTTGGTGCCGAGGATGAACCATCAATTGCTAAGCCCTGTATGTTGAGACCAAGTCCGGTGCCGTCGGACTTGGGCGAGGAGAGAGGAAGTCCAAACATGGACTGGGGACGACGTCGCGAGAAAAGAGAGTAGGAATGGCTTTTGCTTCGGAGGCGGTCCTTATTGTAGGCGGCGGCAATGGGCTCGCGTGGAAGATAGTCGACCGCTGTGATTGAAGAGGATGTCGAAGCCTCGCCTGCGGGCTCGTCGAATATGGCCTCCTGAACAGGCGCCCAATCCGCCACAGGAATAACTCGTCTCGACATGTTGTTTTCAGGTTGCTGGTCAAAAAAGGTGGCGATACACCGTGTTGAAACGTATTAATGACCTTCGGGACTGAACAGGTGTGATGGTAGAGGGATGGAGGAGGAAAGTCGGTACACCCTGTCGCTGACAGGTCGGGCGTCGCGTTCAAAAAGAATGTAGGTCAAGTCGCAGGATCGGCAATCTAGTGGGAGGCATTAGTTGGGTGTTGGAGGAATGCTCCGTTTATGAGCGTCTCGTCTTTGGGCCGACGCCTCTCCTTTTTTCTTCCTTTTTGGGGAGAGGTTCAAGACGGGACTGTCTCGGAACTACCGCCAAATGCACTACCAATGCAGGGTGGCGGCCAGTGGGGCCACGCGGTAGGCTCCGCCTGGGGTTCTCGGGGTGCAGACACAGGGACCTAGGGAGGTACAACTCACCAAGGGAATTTCAGGTTGGCAAGCCAGTGGTTGAGTTAGGAGTGGGCTGATGGCGAACAGTGGCTTCCTTGAGTGGCTGCGTGTCTTCTAGCCTCGTAACCGTTGGTCTAGGGCCGGCTTGATCCTTTGTCAAAGATGGTTCGGAGTCGCCAGAAGGGGGAAAGAAAAATCTTCGGCCACCTGTTGATGGTAAGGGGAAGGCAATGGCGCCAGGCCGATGTTTGGATCCAATGCAACTAGTTGAGTTCGGCCAGTGCGTCTTGGCCTCCAAGACAACGCGGGAGGGCAGGACGGCAGGAAGAAAACGGCAGCGATCAGCAATTCGTTGACCAGTCAGACGAGTTCTGTACGTGCAGCGGAGGCCGCGAGTCAAGTGTCTGTGGTTTCGAACCACTTCACTTGCCTCTGCTGGTGGCGGCTCTCGTTGTGTGACTGGCACAACAGAGCTCGGCGGGTGTGGTGGGTGAGGTGAAAGGTTCTGCAAGTAGAAGTAGTTTCGGTCGGTGGATATGATATTCGTCTGAGCGAGGTTTGGACGTTCAAGAAGATGTCCTACATGCGCCATAACCCATTCTTCGCTCGGTGACACAGGATCAGCGCCGTGTCGGCGGATTAGGCGAGTCCAAGGGAGAGGAGGTAAGGAGCAATGCCTGGCATGACACGAGGCACTGGCACGTGTCGGCGTCTCTTCAGGGTTCCAGGCGAAACAACAAAGGGTATGATGGCGCCGTTGAACGGGGTCCTGGAAATTGGCACTAACGCAGCCAAAAGAAAGAGGGAGAGAAGAACGCAACCCTCAGGTTCGATTGTCCTGTTATATGTTACCTTCCTGAGCAGAACGTCAAACACAGTTGAATGGGAGGAGACAATGCAGGGTCCTATGGCCCTGCATTGAGTTTACCCATGACCCATGGTGGTGGTGTACATTGAGGTGCCTGCCCGACCGCATGTCAACATGCACCTAGACCAATCTCTTGGGACCACTGACAGCAAGCACCATGCCGAACCTGGGCGCAAATACAACACGACGACATCATATGCTTATGAAATTAGATGATCACCAAGCTGCAGTGCCCGACTGTACCTGAAGCAACGCTCTCTGCCCAAATCTTATGCTTTGATACCGCTGACACGCATCCCCTCAGGTGCTCACCGCCCCTCGCCACCATTCATTGCTGTCTTGAAGGCCAGGGATAAACAGACAATGATGCACCCGAGGCTTAAGTAAGAAGTGATGTGTGACGGCACTTGCACCCACAAAACAGGCTTTTACCGATCATTCGCCTAACCCTTTACCCCCCCTCTATTTTCCATCAGCCTGATCCATACATACCTACCTGCCCGTGTGTCGCAAATCGAAATGCCTATGTAGGCACCTTACCTGAGGACGTAGGTACTTGGAGACGCGAATCACTTTGGGCGAAGTATCGATCAAGACAGATACCTAGTTGGACTACAGAATTGACTTGGCGCGACATCATTGCGCGATGTTATTCATGGCATCGCTATTTCTCTGTGTATTGATTTGACTGTGGTTGGTGACACTGTCTTAACTTGCGTGCAACAGGTGTCACGGTCGTAATCAGGTACATCAGCCCCCCTGGGCCTCCATGCCAAGTGCCCCAAGTTCCATAATCATCGCGATGTCAGATCTCCTCTCCAGACGAAGAATGATGCCCCAGCCCACCCTTGCAAGATCAGATCGTATCGAACGTGGGACACCCTCGCGTCAATGACATGCGAGGCTGTATTTTCTGAGATCCTGCAACCTAACGTGATCTAGTGGATCAGATCGTCATTCCTCTCAATTCAGCGCGGGTCTCTCGGGACCCTCCAATGGACGTGTCGCCATGGTCCACCAGGAGAAACGGTGCGGCACGGAAGCATAGTTTCTCCAGGCGTTTGCCCATCAGGGTTCACAATGATGCCACAGTCCTCCGTGTGCCAGAGAACCGAACTTCCCAGTACTTCAACAACATCAACCCCGCCAAATCGTCCGTCCCCTTTTCTCTGCGTTTTGAGGTCCCTGCAGACTTCCCGACGCTCCAGTGGTCCCGATTTGACTGCCCGATCGAGTTTGCACAAGTCGTCTTTCGACCAAACCTTCTCCGATAAACCATATCCATTCAAAACATGGCATCGCAAGCAGGCCAAATCAAACTCAAGACTGTCAGCGCCGGGTTCAACCTCCCACCTGCCTACAGCCTTTTCTTTCTCGTCATCGAACCGATATCTGCCCTCGTTGGGGCTTTCTTTGCCCACTTCAAGCCGGAGGTGTACCTTGAGCTTACCCACGCTGCTACGGCCCCCTCGACCCTCCCCCTTGGTACCGGTATCGCCATGTCACAGCTTGCCAACCTCTACCTGTTTTTTGCATTGAACGAGGCGATCGTCCTACGTGCCACTGCCGACCTCAAGGTGTGGTCAGCCGTTCTCTTCGTCCTACTCGTGGCGGACCTGGGCCATCTCTACACCGTTCGAGCACTGGGGCCAGGCATCTATTATAATGTCGCTGGTTGGAACGCCATTGGCTGGGGCAACGTACCCTTCGTCTATTTCGGTGCCATCATGAGAATAGCCTTCCTCTCAGGAATTGGTCTTGGGAACAAAGCTGTTCCCACGAAGAAGCAAAAATAAATACAGTGCGAAGGCCAAGTCTACAGGTGGGCTGGACCACTTCCAGGCTAGACTTCGACTGCCCCAGCGCCCTCCCCGCTCCCATCCCCGTTCCCCGGCCAGAGACTTCTGTCTATCCACTCTGTCGCTCCATGGAGTAGACCAGTCTGATGATATTCTGTATCAGTCACGAGATTCCGAGAGGCACAGCGGCAGGCATTGCTGCAACAGAAACCCGAGCACATACCGACATGCTTCTGACTTCAGTGCCCCTCTGTTCTCGATGCGACGGAAAAGTAGGGGGAAATCGGTTTCCATGTCGGCATTGAAGCTGATTGGTCTACATCCCATCCCCGTCACAGATGATAATCCCAAAGAATCAGCTGTGTTGCTGCGGGCTCGGTACGCACCACCTAACTTGCCCGAATCCCCCGCCCTCTTACCCTCACTCCGGCAGGTCTATCTAGTCAGGCTACCAGGTGTTCAACCGCTCCAAGCGTGCTGGTGTGTCTGGACACCCGAATACTTACAAAAGTTTTCTGATGGGGGCTGGTTCTGATTGACGGAGAAATCGGCACTAGATCGGAACATCCACCGGGACAATTGCTTTGCAACTTATCACTCCTGAGTGGGGCCTGCGCGGGGCTGGCCAGCGTCAGAAATGGAATGAGGCCAATCGCTGGTCTTTGCGGCGGCCGACGAGCCAAATTTCTGGAGCGAACTGGGGTGTGCTGGATGGAGTCGACTTCTGGGTACACCCCCCCTAACCACCATGGGACACCTGGGCAGCATCATGCTCCCCCATTCCTTGACATCTGCCCCTTCTCGGCGCTGGGTTGGCCGTGGGCTGTGGCTTGGGGGCCATCGAAAGGTGGGCGCGTCTCCAGAAAGACACTACGCGGGGCAAGGTCACAGCTCTTAGGTGGGGGTTCGGTGGTTGATGAACGAGGGACGAGGGGAGAGATTGGGATTGAACCGTGGTCTCTTAAATATTGGGCGGCCTGTCGTCCCGCGTTGGACTTGCTTCCTGTTCCTCCCTCTCTTCTTCTTCCCATTTGAAATCGGTGCCTTCTCTAATCTCAATTATCTTGCACGTCTTGCCATCGATCAGACATCTTATTGTGCCGCTTCACCACCGCCAATCCACATCCCAGACGCCAACATGCCTTATCCCGAGAAATTCACTGGTTTCCAGGTCAAGGGCGCCGATACCTGGCAGGAGTTCCACAAGCAGGAGTTCGACGCCAAGCCCTTCGGTGACTACGACATTGACATCAAGATCGAGTGCTGCGGCGTCTGCTCTAGTGATGTCCACACCGTCCGTGGTGACTGGGGCGCGCAACCCTACCCCCTGGCTGTCGGTCACGGTAAGCTACCATTTGGCTCTTTCTACGATGGCGGCACGTCTCTAATGAACCATCACAGAGATTGTCGGCAAGGCAATCAAGGTCGGCTCCAAGGTCACCACCGTGAAGGAGGGCCAGCGCGTCGGCGTCGGCGCCCAGTCATGGGCTTGCCTCGACTGCAAGCAGTGCAAGAACGACAACGAGACCTACTGCAAGGACCAGCTCGACACTTACGGCGCGACATGGCCTGACTCTGGTGTCGTCTCCCAGGGCGGTTACTCTTCTCATGTCCGCACCCACCAGCACTGGTAAGTGGTCATCGACGGCACTCCTACACGTGCTGCTGTTGAGGACAATGGCCAGTTGAGGCTGACGTGTTCACAGGGTCTTCCCCATCCCCGAGGGTCTTCCTAGCGAGGTTGCCGCTCCCATGCTTTGCGCAGGCTTGACGGCTTACAGCCCCCTCGTCCGCAACGGCGCCGGCCCTGGCAAGAAGGTCGGCATCGTCGGCATTGGTGGCATCGGTCACTTTGGTGTGCTCTTCGCCAAGGCGCTGGGTGCTGAGGTCTGGGCCATCTCGCGCTCGCGCTCGAAGGAGGAGGACTCGCTCAAGATGGGTGCCGACGGCTATATCGCGACCGCCGAGGAGAACTGGAACGAGAAGCACAAGATGAGCTTTGACCTCATCGTCAACACAGCCTCGTCCTCCGAAGGCTTTGACCTCTCCACCTACCTCACCCTGCTCGACGTTCACGGCAAGTGGGTGTCGGTTGGCCTTCCCGGCGGTGGCGGCTTCGAGGTCCGCAACCAGGACTTCCTGCCCAACGGCTGCTTCATCGGCAGCTCGCACCTGGGCAGCAGGAGGGAGACGCTTGAGATGCTGGATCTTGCGGCGGAGAAGAAGCTCTTCACGTGGGTGGAGAAGATCCCCATCAGCGCCGAGGGTCTCAAGACGGCGATGCAGGGCGTCGAGGCGTCCAAGGTGCGCTACCGATACTGCATGACCGGGTACGAGGAGGCTTTCGGTGCGTAAAGAGACCGAGAACCGATGGTGCTGTGTTGTGTATAGGTAGCTGGGTGGGGTGACGAAGCGAATTAAAATGGAGATTTCAATGTTCACTGGCCTGGCCCGCCTTGTGTTGTTGGTGTCTGTCGGGTATCTGGGCTTTGGACGCTCAAAAACTTGTCATCGGCTCGGGTCAATCAGCGCCTTCTGTCCCACCAAGGACCCCTCATCCCCAAAGGAGACTAGTGCGGGGTTGCCCTTCTGTGGCTTTGGCCGCCTCAGAAAGGCGCGACCCGCTGGTATGGCGTCAAAGAGACGTGCCCCGCCTTGCGACCGTGTGACTGTGCAAGTGACTGGCTGTGACTGTGACTCTTTCCTCGAGCTCTCTGGCTCTGGCGTCGCCTCCCCCCCCCCCCCCCCCTCCCCAAAGACCCCATCTGCCATCGACTGCAATTTTGCAAAACCCCCACTCGTCACAACGGCACCGAAAAAGGTCCAATCGAAGAGACGGAATACACATCTCGTGCCTCGACCTAGATTCCTGCCTGTCCATTGCTCGGGCTGACTGCCAGAATCTCTCAGCAACCCGTCCACCACGATCACCACCCTCGCCGTCATGGCGACCGCCGAGCCAATTCTCCCCGTCAAGGGTAAGAACAACGTCTTGGTCACTTCCGCCCTTCCCTATGTCAACAACACGCCCCATCTCGGCAACGTCATCGGCAGTGTCCTCTCCGCCGATGTTTTTGCGCGCTTCTCCCGCGCTCGCGGCAACCCGACCATCTTCATCTGCGGCTCCGACGAGTACGGTACTGCCACCGAGACCAAGGCCCTTGAGGAGGGCGTCGACCCGGAGACACTGTGCCGAAAGTACCATGCCGTCCATAAGGGCATCTACGAGTGGTTCAACCTGTCCTTTGACATTTTCGGCCGCACTCCGACCGAGCAGCAGACCGAGATTGTCCAGGATATCTTCCGCAAGCTGTGGCAAAACGGCTACATCGAGGAGCGCGAGACGACCCAGCCCTTCTGCCCAGTTCACCACAGCTTCCTGGCAGATCGCTTTGTGGAGGGTGAATGCTCCCTCTGCGGCTACAACGACGCCCGTGGCGACCAGTGTGACAAGTGAGTCTCGCCACCTTGCTTTTGTTTTTGCCATTCAACTTTGTCTTTTAAAACATCAGCTAATGACTGGAAAGGTGCGGCAACCTTCTCGATCCCCTCGAACCCGAGCCTGAGGCCGGCAACGCCAAGCCCGACGATGACATTGCTGCGAAGGCCACTGGGTGGTTGATCAACCCTCGATGCAAGCTGGACGGCGCCAAGCCCGACAAGAAGCAGACGAAGCACCTTTTCCTTCGTCTCGACGCGCTTAAGGAGCCGCTCATCGATTGGTTCAAGAAGGCGAGCACTGAGGGCGCGTGGAGCACCAGCGCCCAAACCATCACTCAGGCGTGGATCGACAAGGGACTGAAGCCGCGCGGTATCACGAGAGACCTCAAGTGGGGTGTTCCCGTTCCTACAGATGTTACTGGCGAGGACTATGCCGCCAAGGTTTTCTGTAAGTTGCTGAGAGGGTCTGTTTTTTATCATATCTCATTGCTGACCAGACGGTAGATGTTTGGTTCGATGCCTGCATTGGCTACGTCTCGATCACGAAGAACTATACCGATGGGGCCGACCTCGCCGGCAAGAAGTGGGAGCAGTGGTGGAAGAACCCGGATGAGGTCAAGCTGGTGGGTGATTTTGCAATCTTGATGTGAAGCGCGCGGCTGAGCAACGTCACAGTACCAATTCCTCGGCAAAGACAACGTCCAGTTTCACAGCACCGTCTTCCCCGCGTCGCAGCTCGGCACCAACGAAAACTGGACCAAGGTTCACAAGATCTCTGCCACTGAGTAGGTTCGTTGAGCAGACCGCAGAATCGGCGCTAACATTGATAGGTACCTCAACTATGAGGGTGGCAAATTCAGCAAATCGCGTGGTGTCGGCGTCTTCGGCAACCAGGTCCAGGAGACTGGCGTTCCTTCGGATGTCTGGAGATATTACCTGCTCTCGCGCCGTCCAGAGGTTTGTAGCCACGATTCACCGGACAATTTGATTTTGATGTTGACCATATCACAGACGTCAGACTCGGAGTTCATGTGGCAGGAGCTGGTGGATGGCAACAACAACGAATTGTGCGTGTACCCGTACCGTGTATGCCTCAATTCGAAGTCTAATAACCTTTCGCAGGCTGAAGAACCTCGGAAACTTTTGCCAGCGAGTCATCAAGTTTGCGCAGGCCAAGCTTGACACTACCGTTCCCGATTACACCAAGTTCGGTCTCAACGACTACCTAAAGAACCACGTCAAGGAGGTCAACGTGAACCTCAAGGAGTATATTGCCAACATGGAGGGCACCAAGTTCCGCGATGGTCTCAGAAGCATTCTGTCCATCTCGGCGTAAGTGCCATGTCTAACCCACGCTCGTAAGCCTACTGCTGACTTTCCCACAGCCTCGGCAACAAGTTGCTTCAGGACAACAAGCTCGACAACAAGCTTCTCACTGAGGAGCCTGATCGCTGCGCGGCCATTATCGGCCTGGCACTCAACCAGATTGCGCTCATCGCCAGCATTCTGAACCCATACATGCCCGTGACGTCCAAGGCTATCTTTGAGCAGCTAGGCGTGGAGCCTACGCCGACGATCCCGGACGAGTGGGTCACGGACGCGATCAAGCCCGGCCAGAAATTGGGCGAGGCGAAGCATTTGTTCTCGCAAATCCCCGCGAGCAAGATTGAGGAGTGGCGCGAGGCATTTGGCGGCGAGGAGGTGCGCAAGCAAAAGGAGGAGGCGGCCGCCAAGGCAGCTGCTAAGAAGGCGGCCAAGGAGAGGGAGAAGGAGAAGAAGCGCCTTAAGAAGGAGGCTGCTAAGGCCGCCGCTGCTTCTGGCGCCGAGGCTGCGCCAGCGGGGGTGGAGTCCGGGGAGAAGAAGAGCGAGGCAGATCCTGCGATTGAGGCGGTCACTGAGGCGATTGCCAAGGCTGACGTGCACACCTCGTAAGGGGGCTAGGATTGCGGGGATGTTATTGACGATTGATGATGGTGGGGATACAGTGGGTGGCGTCAAGGGGTCGAAGCATGGGGCTGGGAACGGCCAAAGGGGAGGAGCGTTAGGACCATGATGGCCTAGGAACGAAATCTTGAGGTCTTTACTGCCGCTGCGAAGCCATCGTGACAGAAGCTGTCACCGTTTTCATTTGCCCCCTTCAAGACGGCTTCTGGGGTTCCCCGCATTCACTCCTCATCTCCACGTTTTCCAAGAAAGGAATTGATTTCTGGTCATCTTCATCTCGCCGTGCATGAAAACCAGCAAGCGGTGCCTGGCTGTGTGAGCACCAGCAATTTGTGCCTCATCTAAAAAAACCGACTGCCTCGCTTGCATTCAAGCCGAGCGAAAACGTCCGTCTGTCCGTCGTCCGAGGCGCAGAGCCACGATCGGCACTCGTCCGTGGAGGCGGTCCAATGGCTACCCCTGGTACGGGAGCCCGCCCGCCCCGCGGTAGTTGGAGCGAGCTTCCGGCTCCCCCGCTTTCAAAACGTCTTCTGGGCTTGCATACTTAGCCTCGGACAGGCTCCTCTGAGCCAGCGCGATGACCGCTGGGCGGTGATGGCCCGAAATCTTTGTGTTTGCATGTGCCTGTGCCTGCGCCCCTGACCAGCCTGTTCGTCTCGTCTTGTGAGATGTTCTTGTGGCAAAGAGGCTGGGGGGGGCGAGAAGAGAATGGAAACTTGGGTTCAGAGTCGGACTGGGACTGGGTCTGGGGTTCGACGTCACATTTAGCATGAATGGGGAGAGACGCTACCCCACGCGGAGAGCGAGAGATTCCAACGGCGGAGAAGCCTGGATGCAGATTAGGTTAGGTCTAGCACCCCAGTCCTTCTGTAGGCATGCTGAATGGTTCACCCCTGGTTTATATTCGGTCCTCGGGCCAGTGGATGCCGGTGAATTGATGGAACGTCATATGAGGTGCGAGCAAGCTTCCGTCTTGGGAAAGCAGAGAAACGGAGGGGATGTGGAGGAGGGGGGAAGAAAGCTGCCGTGGTTTTGGCCGATCAGTATAAGAGGCCTGGGAGTCGCAGGTTCTTCTTGCAGGGCGTGCAGGTAAGCAGAGACGACTAGCCATCTCACGTCTACTATCGCCCATCATGGTTGCTGCTTCTAAGATTCTGTGCTCTGGCGCACTGTTCTCCTCCCTCGCGGCGGCAAGGTGGATCGTTCCCGGCGGCCGCTGGATCGATACCGATGGCGGCCTCGTCAACGCCCACGCTGGTGGTGTCACCAGGGAGGAGGAGACGGGCAAGTTCTTCTGGTTCGGCGAATACAAGATCCAGGGCCAGGAGGAGGGTGGTGGTGTTTCGGTCTACAGTTCGGATGATCTCGTTACATGGGAGAACCACGGACTTGCACTCAGTACGTTTCCTCTGTAGGGGACAAACTAGCAGTGTGAGTGTATACTGACGAATGGCGGCAGTCCCTGAGGAGGGTCACGAGTTTATTTCACCCGAAATGATCATCCAGAGGCCCAAGGTTGTGTACAGCCGCGAAACCCAGCAGTACCACGTATGTCGGCCGATGCGCAGTGACCCTCCCTAATCCTGTTCGCTAACAGCACTAGATGTGGTGGCACGCCGACGATAGCAAGTACAGCCTCCTTCTTCAGGGCCTTGCCGTCTCGCCCAATATCACGGGCCCCTACACCTTTGTCGACGCCACGGCGCCCCTCGGCAACTGGTCCCAGGACTTTGGCCTCTTCACCGACAACTACGGCGATGGACGCTCGTACGCACTCTACTCTAACGGCGACAGGCGTGAGGGCCGCGACGTCTACCTCTCTGTCTTTAACGAGAACATCACCGAGGTTGAGGAGGTTACGTTCCGCTTCAACAAGTACGATCTTGAGGCGCCGACCATTCTCCAGACGGACAAGAGTTACTATGCGCTCATGAGCCATAAGACGGGCTACAGGCCCAACAATGTCGTTGCCTTCCGCGCCGACAAGCTCGAGGGGCCTTGGAGCCAGCCCTTCATGGTGGCCAAGCCGTACACGCGCACTTACAGCTCGCAGAGCGGCTTCTCGCTGCGCATTGAGGGCACGGAGAAGACGACGTACCTGTACATGGGTGACCAGTGGGATCTCAACTCGCTCTGGGAGGCGAGATACATCTGGCTCCCCGTTGAGATTGACGACGACAAGGGCAGCCTCGAGGTCAAGTGGCACGACGTCTATGACCTCAATGTCGAGACTGGTGTCGTGACCCCTATCGAGGGCACCTCGTACCCGGTCGTCGACGCCAAGATCGAGGGCAACGCCTGGCTCCAGGAGGCCAACTTTGCCAGCGACGGCCGCATCGCGACGGGCATCTACGGCAACGACAGCACCGTCACCTTCAGCGGCATCGAGGGCGCCGGCAGCAAGCAGTGGGTCTCGTTCTACTATCAGAACACAGACGACATGGGCTTCGGCGACCAGCCGGGTGGCACACCCGACCGCATCAACGGCACGTGGCAGCTCAGGCGCATCAGCAGCGTTGTCGTCAACGGCAAGGTCGAGGAGCTCGAGACGCTGTACCAGAGGGACACCCACAAGGGCATAATTGCCTCGGCACCACTGCTGCTGGATCTCGAGGCTGGCTCCAACAACACCATCAAGATTGGTGGCCTGTCCAACGGCTTCGACTTCAAGGGCGCCGACATCGACCGCATCGTCGTGTACCCGCCCGAGCCTGTCAAGAACAAGTGCAAGAAGAGGGCTGCCTAAGCGAAGGAGCCGAGAGACTGGTGCCTGGTCGTGAGGTCGGAGACTGATAGTTGCGAACATGGTGGTGATGGGCTGTGGAGGGAAGGCTGTGCTGCCTGTAGTGCCGCATACATATCTACCTGGTACCTACCTACCTTAGGTAGGTAGACATTTAAAAGTAAGGTAGGCAAAGTACCTTACCCAGCCGTAGCTGCAACATCTGCATAGCCTCGTACCACCGAATAAAACTTCTTCTACATCCCAAGGCTGCTACTCAAACCCATGTCTTCTGTCCCACCATCACATGCTGTGCGCAATGCGAAAGCCAATACGAAGCAGTACCAATCTTCAGCCGGCTGCCCTCTAATGAGGGTGGAGTTTGGGGGGTGATTCCCCAATTAGCACCACCTCGAGGCGAATGATCGGCTGCTAGTTGGGACAAGGCAGACCATTCAGGACTGATGACACTGAAAAGGCTGCGTCTCACGGCTAACAGGATCTCCCCTATCCTGTTTACGATTCGTGGTCGCCTTCTCTTGGCGCATATATGCTGTGTACTTAGCTTTCCATGTTTGTGTGCAGAGAAGCCTGGTGGCCGGCTTCCAACGCAGTCGATGCGGCACGAGACTGATTCTGACTGATACGTAATCCATCGTGGCGTATCTCTGACATCATTCGGTGTTCGCCGACGCTTGCGTCGTAAGATATCGTCGTGCGCCGGCCGGACAGAGGGGTTCTCAGTCCTTGGCCGACTACCTACTTATCTCGGTCTGCTTAAACGTTCCGTCCTGCGTCTCCCACTTGCCTACAAAGGGGCTCCAGGGCCACATTCGAACGCCGTACTATTTGTAAGGCGCTTTGATATCTTGAATTCTGCGTAGTGGACAGATTATCGAAAGTTGAAAGAGGAGAAGTGAAGCCATCACCGACTCGATGCGTGGTGCACTCACCAGGCGCGAGAGGCTTGGTCCAGCCTGAATGTCAGCCCCCAAGCTGGCAAGTGAGGGTGGCCCTCCTGCGCCTCTTGTTCCCATCTCTGGTCTGTAAGCACTCAGCCTGCAAGTCCGGTCAGAGTACTACCACCACTTGCAGCGTTTTGGCGTCGACTGCTGACCGAGCTCGCATGGGCTGATGCATCCCTCGACAGAGCCTCGTCTGCGATTTTGCTGTGCAAGGTTGATGTCACGCTAATGACAAGATCCCATGGCCTGTGCAAATCCCCAAAAGGCTTATCTTACCGGTTTGGGTACATCTCAATGGTGTCTCGGTGTCGTGTCAATGTGAATAGCTAACAGGGCGGTTCAACCAAGGGGCCCCGAAGGTAAGAGACCCAGAAGTCGGCTCCGCGCATGAGCATGTCCCGTGCGCCCATGACAGCAAGTCCAAGGCACAACTTGCATAAATAAGGTAGTAATACACGGCTGAGATGGGCATCTTCCTGGTTCGGATCAACGGTACGCAAAGCAAGTGAAGCCATCCCGCGCTGCTCCTTGAAAACACCTACCTTCTGCACGTCATTCTTCCGCACTTACCGTTTTGCTAGGTTCCTTTAAAGTTGAACTGTTGATATTTCAGCTTCACAGCCTGGCCTCAGAAGGAGCCTAGTCATGTTGAGCCCGTTCAGGCAACACCCTGCGATTGATCAGCCAATGGACCCTGTATGGAGGCTTGTCCTGCCCGTGATGTGCTCCCTTTTCAAGCGCAGCCCCCACCCCCACCTCCTACTTGGTCCAGCTAGGCACCTAAATTCGGCTAACAATCGCATTCACCAAACATGACATTCATCAAGTCTCTTTGTGTCCATTCCCTAGGTACTGTATATGATAATTCACCTTGCCTGCTCATCGTCTACACCACCCGAATGCACTGCCCCTTTCCCGCTGTTCTTTCTAATGTCATCTGATGAACCCTATGATACGGACCTACCTATGTCCAACCCAATTCGTGAATATATTAACTAGTAGGTAGGATACTTAAGCTGAAGTTGTCCTGGCCTGTACAAACCCCTCGTCTTCTCTCCACCATACCAGCGAGCTCATCATTCGCACTACGTTGGGAACGTGCCTCGGGCTTTTCTCCCCTATTCGCTGCCTGCCAAAAACCACCACCGCCGACTCGGAGACTGAGATGCACCGCACCAATAAGAAGTATGATCACAGATGCCAACATCCTCGATGTGAGGTGAAGCACAGTTATCGTAGCTTCCGCGGCCATCGTGTATACTCAAACTACTGCGGGGCTCGTGAGTTCTTCGTCTAGTACTAAGTTTCGTTTCGCACAATACCTGGCACTGACTCGGCCCTCAGACACTTGTCGTGCGACTCATGACGATCCTGTCAAATTTTGCCAAAAGTCCAAGGATATTGGAACGAGTTACTGCAAAGACCGTAAATATTTCCTGCTTCCCTTCTAGTTCACTCTGTCGTGTGCGGTCACTGATGTCGTCGTAGACCTGCGTTGCGGCTATCAAGGCTGTCGGAACCCTCCCCTTAGCCCACCGAGCTCCCTCTACCCGTTTGTCTGCTGTGACCGTGAGTTTCCCTGAGATGGCTGTCAGTAGCTCTGCCAATGCTAACATCGTAACACCAGATGTGTGCAGTTCCACCGGTTGTCACAAAGCAAAGGGTCCTGGCCTAGAGACTTGTCCTGACCATGCGACGAAGTGTCTTCATCACCAATGCAACAGAACAACAGACATTGGAGGGGGCTACTGTCGCTTGTTGCACAAATGCAACATCCAGGGCTGTCCCCACGAACGCCAACAGTTGGCCGAACCGCCTAGCCAGTTCTGCAGCCGGCACTGTTGCCGCGATGGCACTTGTTCAACTGCGGTGCACGATGCCTCAAACAACAACTCCCATTTTTGCGAGGCGCACGAGTGCAAACTTGCTGGTTGCTTCCGCCGCGGAGACACCCGAGGCGGTTACTGTGATCTCCACGGCTGCCAGGCACCGGGCTGTGCCAATACCAAGCTGCCGAGAGGCAACCTTTGCAGCGACCACAAGTGCAGGCTAGGAAACTGCCTGGCGCTTTCGCAACAGCCTCGCGCATTCTGCCGCGATCACAACTGCGTTTTCCAAGGTTGCCCACACACGAGGGCTGATCACGTTACCGCCCCGGGTCTATGCATCGATCATCTCGTGGGCGACGTTGCCCGGGAAAGGGAGGCCGCCCGCAACATCGAGCGCAACTTGTGGGAGCAGAGGCTCCGTGATGAAGAAAAGTCCCGTTACATCGAACGGAAGCGCAGAGAGATGTATGCGAGGCAAGCTGTCGAGCGCGACGCCCTAGAACGGGGTCGAGACTTTCGCGGAACTATAGATGAGTACTGGGAATCGTTGGCCCGGATGAACCAGAGACACAGACGGGAGTGTCGCGAATTCACACTTCGTTGGGAACGCAGATTTGCTCGCGGCGATATGGATCAGTTTCTCGACCGGGCTATTGGATCCCGCATGACCTCAGCTAGGAGGCCTCATGAGCGCTCAAACTCCGACGAGAGTTCTGAAATCCGCTCAGATCTTAGCTCGCAGACTTTAGTGGGATCATGATTGACAGTATTTCTATTTTGTTTGCTGACTTGTTTTTCTTCCGGCCTTTCTCCTCTTTCTTTCCGCGTTCTGGTACTCGATAGGGGCAGACAGAAAATACATGGGATAGAATCGCGTCTTTGCCTGTGCACAGGGCTACTACGGAACATGGCGTCAGTAAATACCTATCAGGCAGCTTCCTTAACTTAGGAATTGGGAAATCGTTGAGCCAGGAGAATGCCAACATGGAAAACAAAGATATTCTACGTTTGGAGCAAGCATCTCGCATCGCGCTTGATGGATACTCCGAATAAATACCAAGTGATGGAAACTCTTGACCACACATCGCTGTCAGGTGACCAAGCTGACGTCTTCTTGCCTACGGCAATCCGTCTACTGTCCTGCTAATCAATCCAGATATACCGCGACATTGATCTGCAATACGATATATTATGAGCTCTGTATGGAGGGTATTCAAGATGCACCCCACCAGATTTCAGCGTGAGCTCTGCTTCAAGTTGTGACGCGCGACCCGGACACGCCAGCCCAAGTGCTTGTTGCAAGAATATATTACTATTACCCATTCATTATTCTGCTTTGATACCCCTACTATCATGCCATGCTCACAACCAGGACTGGCCGTGTCACGCACGTCTAAACCGTACGCTTCAAATCTTCGCCCGTATATCGAACCAGGAACCAACGAGAAGAGCTCGAGCGGCAAAAAGACCAGCACCGCCAAGGGTGACGATGGCCATGTACAACCCGGCCAGCGGCGAGGAGCCCATCGACTCGAGAAGCTGGCCTCCGATAGGCACGGTGATCAGCACGGCGAAGCTCACGACAAAGTTCATCGTGCCGTAGAAGCGCCCATAGTCCTTAGGCTCACACGTCTTGCCCATGCACACTGCGATTGTCAGCGGTTATTCGAAACGAGCTATGTGAATAAAGCTTCAGGGAGACAAGGGCATACCTGGCACAAGTGATAGGAAGGATCCTGATCCGAGGCCCCAGCAGGCGGAAAAGGCGTAGAGGGCTTCGATATGGCGGGCCCCAAATGGTAGAAGCGTCACGCCTGTAGTGACAAAGGTGAAGACGATCATGACGAGGAGTACGTTGAGGTGGCCAAGGCGGTCGCCGACTGCGCCGGGGAGAAGACGGCCCACGAACGAGAAGCCGTTCATAATGGCGATGAGATTGTAACCCGTTTCAGCAGGGAAGCCGGCCCAGGTCACGAGCGTGGGAAGGATACCAGTGACGCCGAAGATGACGAATTCGAGCATGAAGAAGGCTCCTGTGACGAAGGAGAACGGAGGAGAGTTGAAGGCCGTGAAGTTGAGGGCAGCGTTCCGTTTGGGCTGCGCAGGAGTGGCGGTAGAACCCGTGTTGGCGGCCAGCACACCGGCATCCATGGAACCCATAAGACTAGGGAAGGGGTATAGGCACCCAACGCCGGGCACCATCATGCCTGTGATGACGAACCCGAGGCCTCGCATGGACCATTGCCAGCCCCAGCTTGGAAGCACGGAACGCAGCATCAAGGGAAAGATCACGGCGCCCACAGATGAGCCAGTGAGGGCTAGGCCCATGGCGAGGCCGCGATATCGGACAAAGAGCTTACCCACGACGGCAATGGCGACTGTCGAGGCGACGGCGGAGCCAAGGCCACCGAGGAGACCAAGGCAGAGCATAAAGTGCCAGTACTCGGTACATCCACCTAGCAGGAAGAATGTCGGTATCGTGAGGACGACAGCAACAGGGGCAAGGCGGCGGGAACCATAGCGGTCCATTAACGGCCCAACCTGGATGCCGAGGAAGAGGGAGAGAAAGGTATACATGCCGGTGATCCAGCCGACATCACGAGCAGAGTAGTCTCTAAGCACGTTCAACTGCAAGTAGGCTTGAATGACGCCCACAGATTGCATCATGCCTGGCACTTGTCAGAAAAATTCTCCTGCGAAAGGGGGGAAAGGCTAGGTAGGCACCAAAAGACGGCATCAAGAACAAAAAGCTTCCTGCAACGCAAAGCCATGCTGCCGCCCTCTTCTCTACGTCGGCCGACTGCCTGGAGCCCGATGCTGATGGTGTATTTCGACTCGGCTCGTAGTCAAGAGGGACAGGAACTGTTCGGCCCGTCTCGACCAGCTCGAGGCGGTTGTCTGGGGCAGAGGCCATCTCGCTTAGTGGACGACAACTCAAACAACGAACAATGCAAGTTCAAGAGCTGAGTTTCGCGGGTTGGTTGACCTGTTCAGAACAGCTCCCTGTAATTGAAAGCGCAAGCTTTTCATTTCAACAAACATGGATCTAAAGGCTCTCACCTAGGCGACATCGGATTGGGCCTCTCGGCAACGCCTTGAAAGAGTCATCGCACGCAAGCGGTCTGGGGGTCATGAGCCCTACAGAAAGCGATGTCCACGCCCTTCGGGTGGAGCCCGCGGCCGCTTATGGGCTTCTTGGTATCCTAGTATCCCTGTAGAGTCTCTGCTGTAGGGCTGTCAGCTTCCACTATGTGGGTTCTGGGGGACATGAACCTGGTCTTGCGGAATCGATTACCCCATCGCCATCTCACTTCCTTATGCTAGAGCCATCCAGACGCCCGGGCGATGTCGGCCGGCCTCTTGCCAACGTCGCCGTTGGTGTTGGTGGGTATCAACATTGAGTGAGTGAGCTCCCATTGCCCGGCTCGGGCTTCATAGCCAATTGAACAGCAACTCATACGGCGGGATACTCATAGGCTGGGAACTCATTCTCGGCAGCACCCGTGAAAAGAAGCATCGTACATGGTCACATCAATCGTCAGGGTTCGCAGCGCCCTGTGCCATTCTTCAGCTGAAAGAAGCTTGCACAAAGTGCTTCCTGCGAAAAAATGACCATGCTTGAAAAGGAAGGTGATGCTATTATTATGGGACTAACTCGACAGCGCCGAAATTCATGGGATGCTATGCGTCTGAGTAAAGGGATAAAAAAAAAAGCTCGCAGACTAGATATAGAGAAATTCCCTGTCGTGTTCATCTTCGCAGTCGCACAATCGTCAATCATGGGGGTATCGTCCAACATTCGCCTAGATGGACATCACTAGCAGAGCTCCTTCTCAGATTCTGACGGTGTCGGCTGTGGTGTGACGAGAACACCTGGAGTGCTTGTGCCAGAGTCGAGTTTGTCAAAGTCGGAACTGCCAGAGCTCCTTTCCGACTTTGTGTCATCGTCTGGCTTGGTCTGACCTGCGATCTCGGGCGCGTCGTCATCATCACCATCTCCCTGGACGGACGAAGGAGCCGGCGCAGGTTCCGGCTCAGCCTCGTTGTCGCGCTCTCCCCCAGCGTTGACTTGAGCGTCATCTAGGTCGGCGCCGCCCTTCTTACCCATGCCGCCCTCCTCGAGATTGCCACCCTCCAGGACCACCTTCAGCTCGAGATCCTCGTCCATTGTGTAGACGCGAACACCGATGACGCAGATGGCATTCCACGGGTCAGGTGCATTCTCGTCTTCAGACTCGTAGATCTCGGCTTTGGTCAAGGGAGGTCCAGCGGGTTTCGCCCTGGGCTTGCGCACGAAGTCATCGTCGCTGTACAAGAGCTCGTGGTCCTCAATGGGGGAATCTGATGATTCGCCTTCCGAGACTTCTTCGATCTTTTTGGCAGCCTTCTTGGACGGCGCAGGTGGTGGAGTCGTCGCCTTTTCATCTTCAGCAGGAAGTCTCTCCTGGGTCATGATCTTCAGGGCATCCTTGGCATTCTGGTCCTGTTGTGTCGCCTCGTCCGCCTCATCATCTCCGCCTTCATCGTCGCCCTCTTCTGCTTCTTCCTTGGCCTTCGTGGCCTTGCGTTCTTTCTTTTCGAGGTTCTTGGCCTTCTGCTGCTTGTTAACCTGACGTGTGAGGCGGCGCCTCTCCCACTGCTTCCGGCGCTCCTCTTTGCGCAGGGCGGATGCTTTCTTCTGTTCCTTCTCCTTGCGCAGGCGGGAGACCTCCTCGAGATGAGCCGCGGCCTTGCTGTGGGCCAAGTCATAGGCGTAGCCCACCTGTGCAAGCTTGGCGTTACCACTGCGGTGCTTGCACTCGCGCTTAACGACGTCCTCAACAGAGTCAAGTTGCGTGTAGCGCTCAGCTTTGACGCTAATGAAAATGCTGTAGTCGCCAGCTGGCATGTCAGGAATCTCGATCGATACGGAACGGCTCATCAAATAGTTTCCGTGAGACCGGACAATGTAGTCCTCGGCGTTTGGTCGACCCTGCTCATGGACGCGGAAGTGAAGCTCAAACCGGTATTGGCCGTGGAGTCCCTTGAAGTACCGGTTATCCAGTTGGGACAGGGAAATGACCATTGGCGAGTCCTTGGTGAGTTTGACTTGGAACTTCTCGTTGTACTGTGGCTTCCAGGGAACATCGACGCCGATCCATCGTTGACAGCACCTCCACTTAGGGTCGTTGAACAGCCGCGTCCGGTCGAAATGCTGGAACTTGTTCAGGAAGTCCTCGTAAGAGATCCAGAAGACTGAATCGTTGCCGAATTGATGGCCGAGCTCTGCCTGGATCTCAGGAGTCCAGTCTCGAGAACCATCGGACCAGGCTCCCTCCCAGATACCTTTACGAATTTTGCCCCACGGGTTCCTTTTGGGTGTCAGCTCGCAAATCACACCCGGAACAGAAGTTCGGGTCACATACCTAAGCTTAACGAGCCGCGTCCCCGTTGACAATGTTTTGGCCTCCATGATCACGTAGGCATGACCCTCACAGATACCGACACGGTCGCCATATCCGCATTCAAGCAACCCCGTAGAGCAGCCGAACATGAATTCCGAGTTCACCTTGGACAATTCATTGTCCCAGAAGCTGTCGAGATCCAGAATATCAGACGTCAAAATCTCCGCCGTGACGCCACCAGAGAGATCTTCCAAGGCCTCGCCGATCCAGCCGCCCACCAGTGAAGCATAGTCGCCGTGGGCTTTGGCGTAAGCCTTCTCAAGAAGAGGGACCCAGGTTTCATTCTGATCGATACACTTGCCAAAGTAGAGGGCTTTTGATCCTGTCTGGTACGTTTGCCGGTACACGCGCTCCTGGTCTTCGCGATCAATCTGCTGGAGCAGCTCCCGCTGTTTACTCCTCGAATCCCAGGTGGGTGACTTGAGATAAAGCTTATCGTCGATGATGGAGTAGACCCACTCGCCGTCTTGCGTCCTGATCAGTACCTAATGCAATCGATCCGAATGCCAGCCGCAACATTTACATACCTCTGTAAAAGACAAAGCCATAGATGCCAACACGTGTGTCATATTCCACACAGATCCGCCGTAGACTCTCGGGCTCATTGGCCAGGGCCGTGAAACTGGCTATCAGCCAGCAATTGCCGATGCTGCCTTGCTGCACGTCCCTGCCGTCGACATTCTTCATGAACGTCGGCTTCTCGAAGATCTCGTGGACTCGCTTCACAGCCTTGGGCACTGAGGCGCTGCTGTCGGCGAGGGTGGCCTTGTTGATCGACCAATCCGTGGCACCAAGCCTGTTGAGGCAGTGTCCCTTGTACCATTTGAGGTCCCAATCCTATGGCGCGGGCAGCCGCGTTAGCGTTCCGTGCTCCGTGCTCGGCCAGAACCTGTGGTGGCGAGGGGTGTGCTTCTGCTTACCAGATCCCAGCCCGGGTCTCTGTAGCGCTGGTTTACCCTGCGGCACTCCTTGATGATCTTTTTGACCTTACGGCGGCACTCCTCGACGGCTCTCTCGTAGCCCGCGCTCATGAGCTCATTGGGTCGTTCGGGGCTCACAGGTGGCGGCACGGGGTCGAAGGGAAGTATTGCCAGCGCCTTGTTGAAGGTGCGCTTCTGAAACGTCTTCCAAATGTGGTTGATCGACTGTTGTGGCGGCACCTTCTTCTTCTTTTTCACCTTCTTGTCGGTGGTGCTCGTTGCAGAGGCGGGCGGAGGCCTCGGCCTCTTGGGGTCGTCGGACTCTTCGGAGGAGCTGTAGCCGTGCATAGTGGCGGGCGCGGCTCGAGTTGGGTTGCTGACGTTATGTTGTTGGGTCGCTGCAAGAGAGAACCTAGAAACAACTACAAAGTCTGCCGTTGAAATGAGAGCGCAGGTGTATATCAGAGGAACACGTATCTGGACATCTGTCAGTGGTGCTGCCATCAGTCATGAAAGACTCTCTTGAGGCACGACTCACGCAGTAGCAAGGCCAATATTTCTTGAGCTTTAACCAAAAGCGCGAAACCTAACAGAGAGACAAAAGAGCAACGGGCGACGAGTGGGCAGGGCCTTGAATCGAGAAACAGATGGTCTTTATATGTGAAGCCAAACCGGACACCAGAGCGAGCCTTGGTGCAATCAGGGGCCACACTTGGCATCCAGCGCGCGCCGCCCGTCTTGCCAATGGCTGGCCACCCATGTAGAATCATCACCCTGTCAGTAAGCTGGGTCCCACACCGCCGTGGACTGACAGGCGCAAGATGTGTAGTCCGCCATCCAGGTTGCCATTTGTGAGGGGGCCTGGCGCATGGCGTTGGTGTTTCCGTCCCCGAGGTTCAAGACAAGAGACAAGCCATATGCCGGCCAAGTGGGCCACCAGCCAGGGGGTAAGACTCCATCCTGGCAGGAAGCGGGTCGTAGCATTGAAACCAAGGGTCTTGTGAACAGGACACGGACAACGAAAACGGTTAACGATTCGTGCTCGAACCGGTCGGAGGGAATGGCGGTGGACAGGGCGGGAGGTCTAGATTTGGACCCTCAACAGAGCCGCGAAGTGGAGTACGGTGTTAGGTGGGAAGGAGGCAGGACCGACAGATAGGTGCCTACATAACTCACCTAGGTACCTAAGTAGGCAATAGCCAGGCACCTGAGGTACTGTACATGTAGGTAGGTAAGGTACCTCTGACCACGGGTGGTGGGTTTCCAGGGATTGTGCAGGCAGTACGGATCCTCCCCTTACCTTTCCAGATTGCGCCCGCGTCCGCGCCTCTCACCACAGGAATTGGATGGGCCGCGTCCCTCATGGCGAGTCCAGAGTCTCGCCTCGTCCTGGGGTCCTGGGTATTCCAGGGGTCCTGCCAGTGGCCCCTTTTAGCGGCTAACAGGGGGCAATGGCCCTCTGGTGGGTCTCCCCACGATTGCAGTCGCCGCCAGTCCTGGGGTTAAGGGCACCTTGGATGTGGGAATTCGTACACTTGCCAGGTCTCGTA